ACACATGTGTGCGAGGCGCAAGGCCCTGTAGGACACAGCAGGAGGCTGGGAGCGACAGCAAGTCACTGAAGAAACTTGAGGAGTGCAGCATGAGGGGGTCTGCGTTTCGCTGCAGTAAGACAGGCGTGAGCACTGGCACCGGGAGGTCTGCGGGCCAGCGTCAGTGGTGGCACGGAGGAAGGGACAGTGGGCCTGAAACGCATGATTCCGGTCAAGGTAACCACGTGTGGTGGCAAGCTCAGGAAACTTGAAACATTATCACAGGACTCCGTAGCTCCACTTCTGGGTACACTCCCCAAAGCACTGAAAGCAAGGACTTGAGAGATCTGAACGCTCCTGGTCACCGGCATCACTCACGATGACCGGAAGCTGGAAGTAGCCCCAGGGTCCACCAGCGGGTAGGGTGAGAAACAGACGTCTCCACACACAATGCAACACTATTCAGCCTCAGAGCAGAGGGGCATTCTGACATACACAACAATAGGGGTGAACTTGAGGGTGAAATAAGCCAGTGACAAAAGGAGAAATACTGTCATAGACAGTAGACATAGACACAGGAAGCAGAACCGGGCGGCCCGGGGCCGGGGCCGGGGAATGGGAGGATGGAGAGAGCCGTGGACGGGCTGTAGTAATGGGACACGGCAATGGGAATGAACTCAATGCCCCTGAAGTGAACACTTCAAAAGGGTTACGACGGTAACTTTCATGTTATGTGTATTGTACCACGTAGAAAAGTAATGTGCGTCACCACCAGCTCTGGGTTCTGGCACCTGTCACGTGCCCCCCGCATGGCTGGGTGACAGCTGGGTTACCCCCTGAACCTACAGCGAAACTCTCAAGCACTATCGTTTCGGTTGTGAAGAAACAGAAAAGCCGAACCACTCCGTCTACAGCGGCATAAAAACGGGGATGTTTTCAACTGGCCTCATCAGAAAAAACGAACATTTCTGATATTCCTGTTTACTCTCTGTGATCAAGACTAAGTAAATGAATGCTGAAAAGTGACAAGTTTTACAAGTTTGGGCAGAAGGAAAGAAAATCCCTTGGATTTATGAAGAGATTAAAGATGATTACACGGCACCTATTTCTGCAGTAAATCCATACGCGTTACCCAGGGGAGCGTGGGAGGCTGGTGCCCGCCAGGCCAGGCGCCACATCAGACTCGCTGGGGGCGGTGTCCGCGTCCAGGCCCTGAGCCCAGAGGTTCTGATGGAACAGTGACGGTGTAAACCGCCAACACAAACCAGACTGGATGAGCACGAGGCGTTGCTGAGTCCTTATTCTGCCTCAGCGTGTGGGGTATCTGCTGAGCCAGTGTCACCAACGCTGTGAAGAAGGCAGACTGGGCCACCGGAGCAAAACAGGATTGACACTCGGTCACCAATGCCACTGGTCTACCAAGTGCGCTCTGCCAGCAACCTGCCTGTGTGGGACTCCCCCACAAAATGGAAAGCATTTCTCAACCGAAGAACGTTCACCCTCTAACGTTCGCACCCTGTTTCAGATGTGAAACTATCTCCTTGGAAAACAAACTGAGCAATTACGTTTCTTGTTCACTTAAGTTATATGTGTGTGTGTGTGTGCGTGTGTACACATACATATTTTATATTTATTTTTGAGAGAGCGCAAGTGGGGGAGGGGCAGAGAGACGGAGACAGAGGATCCGAAGCAGGCTCTGCGCTGACAGCAGTGAGCTCAATGTGGGGCTCGAACTCATGAATCATGAGATCACGACCTGAGCCGAAGTCGGACACTCAACTGACTGAGCCACCCAGGCGCCCCCAAGATAAGTTACATTTCTGATATCTCCCTACATTGCTCAAGTTTACAGAAAATAAAAGCACTTCTGGTCCTCGCGGTGCTTGAAAACCGCTGAGTGAGCACACGCAGTGCTCACAGTGAGTCCTGGGCCCTCCTGGGATGAGGTATCTATACTCACATTCACACTGTAGCGTTTAAAGTATCATTCGCAACCAAATAAACAGACATTTGACCTTAATAGGCATGACTTTTACATCTGAAATGTTCGGAAATCTAAGTTGTTTGGACTAGGGAGTTATTAGATAAATTACTGAAGCAGTAAAGCTGAGATAATTTTGGAATCAGAAATTAGTAAATGTGCCTCCTGCCTGGAAGGTCAGAGCAGTGAATGATGGAAGGTGCTTAAGAAACTATCTGGCGACTAGAGACAGACACTTGACGACAGCTCCCTAACTTTCAGGAGTCTGGAAAAACGTGGAAGGCGAGACAACCTGCTTTCTTGTCAGGAGGAGACATGCCAGTGACAAGCAGCCAGTTCTCAGAGAGCAGGGGCCACACACACGTAAGTCCTCACTGCAGCATTCTTCAAGCCCAGCCCGGGGCCCAACAGTAGATGTCGGGTAGCAGACGTATGTGTGCAAAAGGGCAAAGGGCCGAGCACACCCCAACGTGCAAGCGATCACGGTGGCACACCCACCTTCCCACGTAAGAGCAAGAAGGGTTGTGGGCTGAGCGGAAGCAAATCAAGATCTCCCGTTTCCCCAGGTGGCAGTGGCTTCTTGTCCCGCAAGTCTCTGTGTCTTTTATTTGGACTTCGTTCCCAGATCCTCATCTATTTGAGGAAGGCCCCTTCTCCCAGGTGGAGACCCCGGTCACTATGGCCAGATTTCCTGGACTTGAACAGGGACAGGATGCTCTGGCAGAGGCCTGTCACAGAGCCCAGAGGAAGATTTACCTTCCCTGAATCTAATCTATTGCCTGTTGCCCCAGTCCTAACATAGCAAGTGAGCAATCTTAAGAGTGTCCTTGCATTACAGGAAAAATACAAATGCAGGAAAAATGTTAAAAATGGGTAAGGTTTCTGAGCTCCCATCTACTGGACGAGCTGTTAGTTCACAACGGGTTTTACTGAATGAAGCAACATCTTCTTGTTCAACAAGGAGGAACTTCTCAGGGGCTAGAGCGTCACAGAATAGGGGAGACAAAAGCCCCAGCCAACAAACTGGTACTTGATTCTAAAAACCAGCAAAAACCCAACCTCTGTAACAACTCTTCAGGACAAAGTCAAGTGCAATAAATACACAGTTCTTTCTTCTTGGCTAGCCTGCAATTGTGAACACTGGGAAGCAAAGAACACACTGCGGGAAAGGCACATATAAAAAGAAATCTTTCAGAACGAGTTTTATTTGTAGCTGGAGTTCACCAGGGCTCCTCTGTATAATCAACTCAAGGGGAAAAGTTGTACTTTATTTTCAAGTCAAACTCAGGGACTTAAATATATGATGTAACTTTGGAAACCCCGTGGCAACGGGCTAACCCAGCATAGACCCCCCCCCTCCCCCCGCCACTGGCACTCGAGTGCCACACGAGGGGGAGTCCAGCGCTGGTCTAAACTCATGGGCAGCTTTGCCAGGAACGAGAGCGGACACCTTGGCCTTTGGCCAAAATCTGAAAATTCTCCTTCTGTTTGGATCCCTGAAGGAATGATAGCTCAATTCTTCTAGTTTCTTACTGGGGTGACAATCAGGTCACTGTTAGGCCCTGAGGGATCTGGAACGCAGTTGTGCCTACAATTAACAAGGTGAGCTAATCAATCAGTAGCTGTGTCCTGTGCAGTCTCATTGAGCTCAACGCAATGAGTGAAATGTACCTCTGCAGCCAGAAGATGGTCCTCAAGACACGTCATGAAAAATGCAAAGCGGGCACAGATAACAGATGGAGGGAGTGACCAGAATATTCCAAAATTAATAGAAAAAGAAGTAGAATATGGCAGAGTATAGGGTTGTTCTCTCAGGAAGAGAAAACAAATTGCATATCCCCAGATCTGCAAGAATCTGCCATTTGCCAGTACTTCAGAGAAATGAAGACTGACGTAATATGGTTCAAAACAGATGAACTCTACACATTCTACACTTTTCTAGAAGCTATAAATGACCAGTGTTTCTCAAAAGGGCTTGAAGTCTCAAGTGAGCTTTTCACTGAGATGAAACCAGCACTGTCCAAAAGAAACATAGCGCAAGCTGCACACGCAATGTATAAAAATTTTTAGTAGCTACGATTTTAAAAAGTAAAAGGAAATAGGAAATTAAATTAACCATAATAAAACTTTATTTAACTCACTCTATAAAATATATTACCATTTCAACCTATAACGATTATAAAGTAATTACACTTTTTTTTTTTTTTTTTTCATATGAGGTCTTGAAATCGAGCATGTATTCTGTACCTGCAGGACAGCTCAGTTCAGACTGGCCACACCTGAAGTGCTCAGTAGCTCCAAACCTGGACATTTGGGACAAACATGCTCGCATACTGTCACTAGGAGCCCATTACTGACCCATCCAGACACACATGGAGAAACAGTCTTGCCATGGTTACCTTTAAATAGAGGAATCACCAAGGAATGCCAAACGCTGCTTGGTTCAAATGCCCTGTCATTTCAGGGGAAAAGTGCATCTTTCAAAAGCCCCTCCTGCCACAGTCACAGCACAGCCACGACCCTGCCCACCCGCACCCTCTCCCTCACAGCCCAGCTCCGTTCCCACTCTGCATGGCGAGCCTGGGCAGTCTAGGATGTTCGGAGATACTTCACAAGGTAGAAAGGAGGCCTGGCTACACTCAGGGCCTGCATGCTTGCTTTTCTGGGATTTCACGGTAACAAAACAAAGAAAGCACATTGTGAAAACCTGATTAAGGAGACGCTAAATATGGTCCCACCTTCCCTACCTGCTTTCATCACCTGGAGAGGACCCGCACCTTCCGTGTTCTCAATTTATGAACGACACTGGCCCCAGAAGAAGAGCCCTCTCTCTCTCTCTCTCCAAACTGATACCATTTTGGTCTGAGTAACAGGTGGAATCCTCACGTCCACTCCAGCTCTTGATGGATTAGAAAAGCCCAGAGACACAGTGATAATGGAGGGAAGCACGAGTGACGAGGAGAGACCATACCCCTCACCAGGCTGCAAAGAAGCAGGGGCAGAAGCTGGGCACGAGCCAGCCATGCCTCACGATCCCTACCTTTGTGGTTGAAGATGCCCTCCATCTCCATGCTGCTTCTAGAGTGGGCGATGCACAGAGAGCCGCAGGGGACCAGGCCTTCCGCGGCGGGGGACCGGTCGGTGGTCCGCACCAGACACCAGTCAGGCTTGTCGTGGGGCCGCTCCAACACTTCCACGGTCTGGCCACGGCGGATGGTCAGCTCCGTGCTGTTGCAGGCGGTGAAGTCGTGGATGACCACCGTCAGCTCGCAGCCGCCAGAGAGCTGGAGTGGGGGGGGGGAGAGGGACACGTCAGTGAGGTCCTGCCACCGCAGCCCCTGCGGGCGAGGCTGAGCTGGCCAGCAAGAGCCGGGGGCTGGGGCAGTGACTGGCCACCACCTGAGTGGGGGCTCTCCGGCTGCACTGCCCCTTCGCTTCCCTCTGGAATTACGGGGGCAGTTATTTGCTTTTCCGTGTTTTACTGTATGGCTATGATTTTTGAGGGTTTCACTGTTAGAATCCGACACAATTTTCCATATGAGCGTCCCTATCTTTTTGTGCCTGAGACATCATTATCTCCCTGCTCAAAATGTGCTATATAATCCTTTTTAAACATAGGACAAACTAGTAAAAACTGAAGGCTGCTTGGGGGATCACTGCATCATATGGTGACAACATGATAGTTTTACTTGAAGTTTCAGTTCCCACTTGGTGTTTGAGCCAGGCTATTAGTGTGAGGCTCTCCGGCACCACTTGGTTGAAAAAGAGAGCAGCCGCGCAGCAGGGAGACCGAAGGGGCCATGAGATCCCTACGTATGGGCAGTGCATGCCTTATTCTCTCTTCCAGTCCCTCCAAGAGCTCCTCTCCACCCCCCCACCCCCCAGGATACCTCTTAGCGGGCACTCCCGCCGGGTCCTTTCCAAGCCCTCTTCCCATGCCGTGTTTTAGCATGCCATTCCGTATGCTCTGTGGACGCTGGCTTACTTCCCTATGCTATGTGCTTTCTGGTCTGAGGCTCCTTTCCGTACCTCTCCCCTCCCACTAAGCTCACTCCCATTTTCTGTAAATTAGAACTCAACTAATTCTTAGGCCCTTTGAAGCACATTCACGAACTCCAGAAAGATACAGTGCCGTGATCACTATTTGCCTGTGGCCTGTGTCCCATTTGTCTGCCCCTTACACTGTTCATGCCCCGGGGACAGCATGCGCATATATATATATATATACACGTATATGTTTATGTGTGCATACACACACACACACACACACACTCATTAACATCCCTCCTACACAACAACCTTGTCACCCGCTCCCCATCTTTGGACTGTCTTGCTGGCCCCTCACTCCAGGTCACCCCAGGAGGTTCCAGCTCTGCTGCGTGTCCACCATCCCCCTGTGCGGCTCCATAACCACACTCTCTGTGCCCATCACTCCCCAAGCAGACATCCCAGATAGCAGCTAGAGAGGACTTTCATCACTGTTTCGGGCATTTCCCTCCAAAGCAGTGAGTCTAGGACGTGACTCATTACCCGCCTCCCCGATCTGTTTCTCTTCCAATGCTGCCTTTTGGATAATGGTTTCACCCAAGTCACCCGAGCTAAAAACTCTCTCTCCAAACGCTATCAAATAAACTTAAGGCCATGTCTCGGATTACTTCCTTCCTCTGCCCATCCGTGCCACGCTTCATTTGGATTTTGCAGTGACCTCCCTAACTTCAGGCTCACCTTCCAAGCCATCTGAACGCTGCTGGCAGCTGCCTTTTTGAAATGCGGAGCCTCCCATTCAAGCATCTGAGACACGCGTTCCTTCGTGTGGGATTCAAAGCCCCCAAGCCTCCACAGCCAGGTCCCGCCCACCCTGCCCCTTGTCCTCATGTGCTTCACAGCCTGGAACGTGTCTTCCTTGAGGTGGTCCTGCCCTGCACTGTGTCCATGAGATCCGTCTGCTCAGAACCCCCATGTCCCCACTCTATTCCAGGCCCCCTGTCAAAGCCCTCTGAGAAGTTGCTCCTGCACCTGTCTTAGGTTTTTAAATAAATCGTGTCTCAATTCTGAAATGAGCCACGTCTTGGGTTGTTTGTGTGTGTGTGTGTGTGTGTGTGTGTGTGTGTGCGCGCGCACGCACGTGCCCTTAGCACCAGCAAGCGGGTTTGTTATTTCTCTGTGAACTTTCCATGCCTGGTCCGTGAGGGGAGAGATGGGGCCCGTCTCAGTCATCCCCGAGTCCCAGTGCCAACAATGGCAGGTACCGGGATCATACGAAAAGGTTGCTGAATAGCCTTGAAGCCTAGCTTGCCCAGTGCTTTGTATCCCACAAGCAGATAAACATTTGCGGAAGTGAAAAACGCAAAATGGGCTTGCTCTAAAAATGCAGAGGCTGCATTTGAGAAATTGAAATGGAACGTGGGCTTTTCTCCTGTGACTTCAGGAGCGAACTCTGCCTGTGCTCAGTGTGCAGCACACCCAGGCTTCTGTCGCCCTGAAGGGCAGCAGCACAGAGAACACACAGGGACAGAGGAGTAGGCGGGCTGGGCTGTGGCCAGTGGGTGAAGGACTGCCTGGGCCTCCTGCTGGGAAGCAGCCTTGTTCCAGAAGCCTTGCAGATCAGATCCACCCGCAGAGAACTGGGAACCCGTGCCTCCTGCACAGGCCCGCAGCCTGCTGGCCCTGTCATGCCCTACGCTGTTCAGTATCCTCCTGTTCTAATAGCCGGTCTTTTGAGAGAAGTTTAGATATTTACAATAAGAAACACATGTCCACAAGACAACCACAGAAAACAAAACAAAACAAAACTCCTCCATAATGCAACATAAATATCGACAAAGTGAACTGTCTTTGCTAGGCTACAGAGGAAATTTCTCACAAATATTTAATCCCCTTCTAAATTTTATAAATTCCTCTGTGGGAAACCCATGCTAAGTCCCACACGTTTCTCTGTGAACAAAGATGCTCACGTTAAAAGAGTTAAAGGCAGAGGTCCAAGAGAGAGAATTTCCCTTGTAAAACCCTGCATTATGGCATTATGGAAGGGGTTAATCCCTGTAACAAAAACGAGGGCTGTTTCCTGTCCCAGGGAAGGCGCGACCAGTGGACAAGGCCCAGTATGGAGTCCAGCGTGCTGAGGCCCCTCGGGGCCCATACTTCCTGGGGGCCCCCTTCCAGCCTGCTGGAGCTCCCCCGTGGCCACCAGTGACCCGCCCGTGTGTGCGTGTGTGTGTGTGTGTGTGTGTGTGTGTGTGTATACACAACACAACCCCCGCCTGCAGGCTGCCTTGCCATTTCTCCACGCCCAGCCCTGGGAAGCACAACTTCAGGACACATTATCTCATCACCAGGCCTTTGCTGGCTTCATTCTTGAGCATTTTATTAATTTTTCAGACTGCTCTGAGCCACGTGGTATGTTCTGTGGGTGGGGGAAGGGTGGGAAGGAGAGAAAGGGGCTGCCTGAGGAGGAGAGTTAAGCTTGACTTTATTTCTGGCACGGATGCTTTAGCCCCTTACAGAGTAATCAAACACTATTGGAAACATCTGTGGACTTGACAGAGCATCAGAAATAAAAATCAAGCCTGTTCGGACAAAGAATCTCATACTGAGTTACATACAGTTCTTTTTCAAAGACCTCAGAGAACTTACTAACAAAACCTAGTACAAGAATCAGTTTTTAAACAGCACTAAGATTATCGTTTAAAAACATCGCTATCTTCTTGGTTTTACCATGAGAATCTCCTGCACAAATCTTTAAGGGACGGGGAAGCTAACTGGATGTTTTCTAGAGCACATACGTCCTGTGCATTTCTGTCTCAATGTTCACATCCGAATATTTTAAACCTACGACAAAACCTGCCTTTAAAACCAGTTTGCTGGGGCGCCTGGGTGGCTCAGTCGGTTAAGCGGCCGACTTCGGCTCAGGTCATGATCTTGCGGTCATGAGTTCGAGCCCCGTGTCGGGCTCTGTGCTGACAGCTCAGAGCCTGGAGCCTGTTTCAGATTCTGTGTCTCCCTCTCTCTGACCCTCCCCCATTCATGCTCTGTCTCTCTCTGTCTCAAAAATAAACGTTAATAAATAAATAAATAAATAAATAAATAAATAAAACCAGTTTGCTAATTAAAAAAAACAAATTTTTTAAAATAAAAGACTTAAAATAACTATTTTGAGGGAGCAATGTAAATCATTGCTACCTTGTAAGAATTAAATTCCTGATCGGAAAAAGTTCAGATAACATACATCGTTAAGTGTGACTGAGACCGTACTTGTTTTCAGTGATACTGCTACCAACAGTGACCCAATTTCATCACTGTGCTGAAGAATTACCATTCCATTGATCTCGTTTAAAAATTCACTTTCCCTTCCAGCCATACTCTGTGACAGTTTTCCCAGTATCTTTCTCACTTCTGTGTGTCTGAGGGACTTCTAGGAGGGGTTCCTCACCACATGCGTTCAGTTTAGGATTGCAATTTATGAAAATCTGAGTTTCCATGACTCACATTAACTCTTGTGAAATGCACATCAGAGGACAGTTTCCCCCTCCCCCTGATCTTTCGGCCTTTCTCCTTTAAACAACAAATATGGGGACTAAAAAGCATGGCAGTGAAAAGGCCCTCCTTAGCACATGGAGCACGGAAGCCAGCTAGGAAATGCCTTCTCCAAGACTACAAGGGCTACGGAGGGAACTCCAATGACCCAGATGCACAATTAGCAGCATCAAACCAGGGTCCCTTTGCCTGAATTCTCTCCAGAATGACTGAAAATGAACAAGCTGTAGTTTCACCCAAAAGGATGAAACACTCCTCTCTGGTCGCTGGCACGTGAACCTTCAACAATCACCATGCGGCACCGAATTTTATTTTTTATGTTCTCTGGAGAAACCGTGTTATGCCGTTGCTTTGCCTGAACCCAGTTAAAGGCAGTAACGAAAAGAGACCCACAGCGGAGGAATTCTCAGCCCACCCCTCCTCGGAGATGCCCCTCTCTGGTGCACAACGAGGCAGTTGTACAAGAACACACAGTTCTGGAGGGACAACGGCAAACATCTGGTCTGAATAACCGAGCTCCCAGGTGAGTTCTCGGGCAGCTTCTGCCAGAGGAGGAGCGGGCTCTTTACGACTAGCATGGCGGACCACGCGGCCCTTGCTGCAAACAATTCTACTTCAAGAACCGAAGATCAACTCAGGTGGGTGTCTGGCCAATGCTCGGAGAGCAATTCAAAAGGAAAGGGGCATTGTGGTCTAATAAAAGCCATTTTTCCTTAAAGAACAGAGTGTGTCAACTCTGTGAACAGTCACA